GAAAATAGTGTTACAACTCACCATGTGAAACAAAAGTGAATGAATATTAAACAACATATAAGCCTCAAAAAAGCCCCGGTTAAGCCGCAAAACCGGTTAATCCGCCCCCGGATAATCGAGAGTTGACTGTAATTATTTTGTTATGAATTTAGATTTCTTATAACCATAGTATACCATGTTAAATATAATTTGGTATCACAAATGTTAGTTCTGTTATAGCGTTTTCATATTTACCTTATGCTACTCAGATGTGGTATTGCAGTTTCATAAATATCACTGGGAGCTAACAGCAAAATTAAGTTTCTTGTTAGAAAAAGGGACACATTGGCCTTTATCATCCAAAAATAGGGAATTTTAAATCTCTCAGTTCCACGAGGTTGGGAGCCAGATTTTAACTCAGGGCAGACAGTGTATCGCCCAGAATTGAGGTATTTAAAATCTCCAGGTTCTGTGGTATCGGCAACCATTGTTAACTATGGGTAATGGTAGTAGACTGAAAAATGCAACACTTGGGCAAGTAGACCACACACATCCACCATTGCAGTAACATTAATGGAAGTTATAGGTACTAGTTGTTGGTTACTGATTTGATAAGACTCAGTCAACCTGTTTCATATATATAGCATTTTCCTGGCTTCTGCCTACCTTGCTGCCAGAAGTAACAAGGTACACCTTGTGATTTTTCTCATATAAACTTTTTTATTCTTTGTTTTAGAAGTTTATACATTATCAGCTGTAGACATTACTTGCATACAGTAATAGTGTTGCACTCCTGAGTTCTCTGCTCATATTTAGGACAGTAACTTCTGTTTAACATGGGTCTGATTAATGCATTTTTTTTTACACAATTTAAATTTAGACATCCATTTTATACAAGTGGTCAAGTTTTAGTTATTCATGGGTTAGCATGTGCACATATGCACATGTAATGCACAGCTGAGATATACCCATGCCCACTTCCCAACCTCCATGCTGTTAGAACATCTGTGTCTGATAGTGTTGACGCTCACCTCACAAACTGCACCTTTCCCTTTTTCATTTAAAGTACCCTACTGTTTTACCTTGAAATATGATGCAAAGCATGAAAATAGTGATGCTGCTCCAGAAAGAGTTAGAAAAGCAATGATTTTAAGAAAGAAAATTGGCATGCTTGATAAACTACAGCATGGTGAAAGTTAGCTTTTGTTGGAAAGCATTTTCATATAATTGAATTTTTTGCCAAAACTGTTAAGTGAAGTCAAGCAGTGATTAGGGCCGGTGTTGAAGCAAGAGTGTGTAAGAGTGCAAAAATTACCTATAAAAGCCATCATCCAACCAGAGAAAAATCTGAGAAAATACTTCCATTGTGAATCAAATATATGGCAAAAAGGAGATGTTTTTGTATATGTGCAGTAAGTATAAATGAAATCAATTTCTTGCTGTAAATATGTACTGACTCTTCTTATTTTGAAGCATAAGCTTTTGTATACCCTGTTTCAGAGGTCAGGTCCCCTTATCCCTTTATTTCCCATAAGACCAAGCCCTTGCACAACACACTTTTGATATTTACGGTATAATTTAAGAAAGCAACCCTGTGTTACACAAAAGTTTACTGTACTGTGTCAGCTGTAAGTCTCTTATGGTAAAGTCATTAGAGTACTAGACAGGGTTTTGTTATATATATGAACTTATTAATAAGCCATGTTAAGTATTTGATTTGCATTTCAGTGTATCACATGAAGAGCACTGGCTGGGTGAACATTTCCAATGAAGACTGCAAACAACTGCACTACAAATTCCAAGAAGAAAAAGGAAACTTTCAGTGAAGTTTTGTAGTTGCATATGCATACATGTCATATTTAATTTGTATTTGTATCAATGCAAACTAACTGAAGCTTGATAAATATTAAAGACAGATATTAAAACTGAAACTTTTATTTACAGTCAGAAAATGAGAAGTGAATTTGAAACATTATGTAGAATACACTCTTGAATATGCTCTTGAGAAGAGGAATTCTTTACAGGTTACTGTTCATATGCCAGAAGAATACGTGTGGTGGACCGTTTAGCAGTGGATTTGGATTAATCAGAATTAAAATTTGGAACTATACCAGTAGTCAACAATCCTATATACAGGGTGTCCCAGGAGGAATGGACCAAACTTCGGGAGGGTGTTCCTTATGTTAAAGTATGCCGATATAACCCAAAACACCTATGTCCAAAGTTGAACGGTTACGGAGATAATGGCCGGAGAAGTGTGAAACTTTGACCGCTGTTACACACTTGTTGATTACAAAATACATATTAAAACTGGCATGAATATGTGG